TTGATAAAATAAAATAAAATAATAATTTATCTATAATATAACACAGGAAGAAAACAAGAGGAACATTGAAGAGACAAGACAAAAACAAAACAAATAGCAAAATGACAGATTTAAACTTAGCAATATTAATGCCTTAAATGTAAATGATCTAAACATCTCAATAAAAAGGACACATTGTCAGATTGGATAAAAAGTAACAAAACCTAACTGTGCTATCTATATGAAATTCACTTTAAATATCAAAACACAAATAAAGGAAAAAATATATACTATGTTAATGCTAATCAAAACATATATATAAAAAGTACATTTGAGAACAAAGAATATTTCCAGGAATAAAAAAAAAATGTGATTTCATAATGATAAAAAGGAAAATTCACTGAGAGCATGTAACAATCCTAAACTTTCTTGAACCCAATAACAGCTTGTTAGCACATGAAGCAAACACAAAAGTACAAGAATCAATATTCAAATTCATAAATATAGTAGAGAATAGCAAATAACGAGCCAACCAAAATTCAGTAAGGCTGTAGAAGATAAAGAATACAGAACATTATCAATCAAAACTGACCTAATTAACACTTCTAAAACACTCCATTACAACAGAATGCACATTCTTTTCAAGTGCACACAGTACATTTATCAAGATACACCATAATTTGATCTGTAAAACAAGTCTCAGTAAACTTAAAATAATTTAAATCATACAAATTATGTTCTCTGACCTAAGAAACTTACATTAGAAATCACTAACAACAACAAAAACAAAAATTGCAAAATCCCAAGATATTTGGAATCTATATAAACACATTATGATCAGCTGATGAGTTAAAGAAGAAATCAAAGGGAATTGAGAAAGTTTTTTGAATTGAATAAAAATGAAAACACAACATATTAAAATTTGCAGGATGCCACTAAAGCAATACAAAAGGCAAAATTTTTAGCACAAGAAACCTAGATGAGATCAGTCAGAGTCTCAAAATAACATACTCAGTTTCCACCTTAAGAAACTAGAAAAAGAAGAGCAAGTTAAAACCAAAGAAAATTTTTTAAAAAATGGAAATAATAAAGATTAAAGAAGAAATCCATGCAATAGAAAAGAGAAAAACAATAGAAAAAAATAAATAAAGCCAAAATTCTCTTCAAGATTATCAAAATCGGTCAATCAGTAGTCAGAGTGATAGGGATATAGGAGAGATGACACAAACTATCAATATTATATATCAAAGAGAGGACATCACTACTGGTCTCACAGACATTAAAAAATAAGAAGAAAATATTAAAAACGACATTATGTCCATATATTTGATGATTGATGAAATGGATCAATTGCTTAAAGATACAAACTAACAATTTTCACTGAAGAAGAAATGGATTGAAACGGAGATATTGACAATCCTTATATCTATTAAAGAAAGTGAACTTGTCATTAAAAACCTTATCTAAAAGAAAACTTCTGATCCAGATGGCTTCACTGGTTGTCTATTAAATATTTATTTATTTATTTATTTTCCTTTTTGTCTTTTTTTCGTGTCCGGCAACGGATCACAACCCTCAGTGTCGCGCCCGTACCGGACCGGGACCGGCAACGGAATTGCAACCCTCGGTGTCGCGCCCGCACCTCGCTCAACCAGTGAGCGGGAACTGGTCTGTATGTGGGATCCAAACCCTCGGCGGGAGCACCACCATGCTCCCAAGCAGCGCACTGTAGCAGTGCGCCACCGGGCCGGCCCCATACTAAATATTTAAAGAAGAAATAATATCGATGCTCCAGTAACTCATCCAGAATATTGAAGAGGAAGGAATACTTTCTTACTCATAACATGGCACCAGCATTACCCAAAAAACAAAACCAGACAAAACGTTGTAATAAGAGAATTAGAGTCCAATATTGCCCACGAACATAGAAGCAAAAAACTGTAAGCAGAAATAGAACAGATCAAATTCTGTGATATATAAATTAAAACACATAATGATCAAGTGGAGTTTATCCCAGGAATGCACGGTTAGTTCAACATTTGATAATCAGTCAATGTAATTCACCATATTAACAAAATGAAAAAGAAAATGCATATGATCATCTAAAAAGACAGACAGAAAATGGTTTGACAAACTTCGACACCCAATCTTGGTCTCAGAAAACAAGGAATAGAAGGCAACTCCTTCAACTTGATAAAGGACATCTACAAAAACCTGCAGCTGGCATCACATTTAGTGATGAAACACTTTACTCATATGATCAGGAATAGGACAAGGATATACAGTCTCACTTCTTTCATTTAATATTTTACTGAAGGTTCAAGCTAGTCCATGCAAAGAGAAATAAACCCTGATTGGAAAGAAGAGGTAAAACTGTCTTTATGTGCAGATGACATGATTGTCTATGTAGAAAATCTGATGACATTTAAAAAACTCCTGTAGGTGATAATTGAGTTTAGCAATGTTGAAGGATACAAGATAATATAGAAAAATAAGCTGAACTATTACCTACTGGCAAGAATTGGTTTCATGTGTGTAGATGCATGTTAAAACTTATCAAAGTACACCCTTTAAATGTGTTCAATTTATAATAAATACAAAGCTTATGCTATCTACCCTAAGTGAATTAATGTACAGTGTATGCATGTATTGAAACAACACACTGTACCCCACAAATATGTACAAGTAAATGCTAAAATAAAAAATTTTAAACAATAAAATTTTAAAAATATTAAGTATGTGCAATTTACTGTATGTAAATTTTATATCAATAAACCTGTTGGAAGAAAAGAAGGAAGTAAAAGAAAACAAGCATGGGGATTTTTAAAGGCAAATTAAGGAAATTCCAAATATCACTTAATGATAGCAATATTATCTGTTCCTAGACTCATAATATAGTTAAATTTAAATACACATTCTATACATATTTGATTACAGAGTCATATGCAATAAAACATATTTTTTCCACATATTCTGTCTTTCATATATACCCATTATTGGTAAATATGAAATTTCAAATTATACTACATAACTTAAAATTGGGAAAAGGTCAAAATTGTCTTTATATATAATGAAAGAAGTCATCCATAATTTTATTAAAATATATTTTGTAATAGTTATTAATAAAACATGAACAAAGAACTTAAAAGCACTTATTAATCACATCCCTTGCAAAGATAACCAAATGATTCTTTCTAGAAATTTTAAGTTAGTTAACAAGATTATGTAATACAATAAAAAATGCACAAGAGTTAAAAACTTTCTATTAAAACTTTAGCTGTTACAAAGGTTTAAAGCCATTAGAGACTTTCAAGCAGTAAAAAAAGCAGCTGAATCTGGTTGATACACACATAAACACACACAGGCACATTTATATATTTGCTTTACGTAGATGATTTTATGGATGGAAGTTCACCATAGGGATGTTTAAATTTCAATATAATGAGGGTCTGGAATTTTGCCATTGTTTTCTTAACGCATACTGTTCAGTGTAAGGATATGATTCTATTCATAGTCGAGGCAGTTTATTTATGCAATCAGCAATCAGTACACCTTCCTAAGTAGTGTTAGCACACCTCCTCAAAACTCTGAAAGAATCAAAATGAGTAGAATTAAATTATTGACTTAATTTGGGTAGGGGCATTCTGAGACATACTCTTCAGAAAATCAAATATGTAAGAAAACAAATTACAAATCTTTAAAAAAAAAAAAGGTTTAAATTAAAATTGTTAAAGCCAGGTTGTTATGTTATCCTTTTATACACTTGGTTTTAATAAAATGTTTTAAATGGGCATTTAATTTCAAAAGTTTAACATTTATCTTTCCCCCTCCCCCAATACACTGTGCTTGGGGTGAATGCAAAAAATAACAATATTCATTTTCTAGCTCAAATAACTTAAAACTAATGAGAATAAATACACACAATAACTAAAATGTAAAGGCAAAAGTGAAGAGGGTTGTAACAAAGTTAAAACAAAGTGCTTTAGCACAGAAGATTGGAAGAAACTGCTTCCAAGTCAACTCTGGCTTCATGGAAAAGAAGGCTTTTAGATATGGATGGAATCAGGGGTGGCCACTAGAAACATAGAAAAGAGGACGGGAAGAAGTGCAGAGCAGAAAAGTGGAAGAATTCTAACAGCACAGTAGCTCTGCATTGGGTTGATGCTGGGAGGAGGAGTGTCTGGCTCTTTATCCTGTTCGTGACACCAATTGTAAAGCTCTTTTACCTGCCTGTAATCCTGCAGACTGGGCCAACTGTCAAGCTACGGCTGGGTCTGAAGCTCCCAGACCCCTCAAACCCGTTCCAGACTGGGTCGATACCCCTTCACATACCAGGCTGGATCCCCAGGCCCCTCATATGCCAGGCTGGGTCACCAGACCCCTCACATGCAGGTCTATGAGCTAGGTAACCAGCAAACAGGTCCTTGGAAGCTATAGGTTGGAAAGCATGGTTGTATACACGGTGGCCGCCTGAGGCAGTAAATTCCAGCCAAGGTGGCAGTGCCATGCAGGCACACTAACTCCACTCCCCCACCCACAATTTGTTTGCTGAGCCACCCCCACCCAGCCCTGACTAAACTATTCTATTTTCCCAACAATCCACCCCTTCAGGGTCTCTCGCCGTACATTCTACACATTCAGAATCCTCTGCAATGTTCCCTTAGCGAGGATAAATGACCCTTACATTCACATATTATACATTCCATCCCAGTCCCAAAAGTCTTAGCTTGTTGCAGCACCAACTGAAAAGTCCAAAGTCTCATCTGAGACTAAAAGCAAAAGTCCTTCCAGCCATGAACCTGTAAAGAGTCAAAAACAAGTTTATCTACTTCCAAGAGTCAAAAACAAGTTTACCTACTTCCAAGATACGGTGGGACAGACATTGGGTACACATTCCCATTCCAGAAGGGAGGAATAGAAAGGAAAAACAGTCCCCAAACAAATCCAAAACCCAAATAGGGCAAACGTTAAGCACACTGGGGGACCTGGACCCCTAAAACATAGGGCAACTTCACTCCTACAGCTCCGCCAGCTGCAGCCCATTGAGCTGCCCTGGTGCCTGCAGCTTTTCCTGGCTGGTGCTGCATGTTGCCAGCAGCCCCATGGTTCTGGGCTCCTGGTGGCAGTCCCGCCATCTCAGCTCCACTAGACATTTCCTCAGTGGGGGTTCTCTGTGGGGGATCCAACCCCACTTTTCTGCTCCACACTGCTTCATAAATGACCTCCACAGTGGCTCCACTCCTGCAGCAGGTCTCCACCTGAGTCCCCCAGCTTTTTCATACATCTTCCAAAATCCAGGTGGAGGCTGCCACACCTCCACTGCTCTCACATACTGCTGGCCTGCAAACTTAACACAATGTGAATACCACCAAGGTTTTCAGCTTTTTTTTTCTTCAGAGGTGCTGAGGCTGGACTGCTCCAACCAGAGCAGCTGGGATGCAGGGAGCAGTTTGCTGAGGGCAATGACACCTCAGATATGCCCTCCAGGACAACTCAGTTCTCCTAGGATGGAAGGGGTGCTCTCCCAAACCTCTCAAATGCCCTCAGGACCTGTGATGGGTGGGACACCCATCCAGACTTCTCAAATGCCTTTAGGGCTTTTTTCCCATTGTCCTGGTTTTTAGCATCTGGCTGCCTAATCGCCAAGATAATGTCTTTAGCAAACAGTTTATCTGCTTCACCCTTGCATTTTTCTCTGGCTCTCTGCTTCTCTACCACATGGACAGGCTGCAAATTTTCCAAATCTTTACACTCTGCTTTCCTTTTATATTTTGGCTTTTGAATTACTTCAATCAGCTCAGCTTGCACCAGCTACTCACTCAGTCTCAGGCAGTTTTTGCAGATTCTCCAACTGTTCAAACAGCTACATTTTCCCAGTCCATCAAGGAGTGGCTGCCCTGCCCCTGTGCATATCTGCAGCTCTCCTGTAACCACTGCCACCGAGACAGGCATGTAGTAACAGAGACTAACTTTTCTGCCTTTTCACCATGTGAAAACATACTTGAAATTCTGCAGGGGCACCCGTCCTCAGGTCATCTGCTCATCTACATGTGGCACTCTTTTCTAGAGTTTACACGGCACCCATCCAGCCACCGGGTTTAAGTAGCACCCTCTGAGCCTTTTGCCTTCAGACAAATGCAACATGCATTTACTATATTTTCTCTAGAGCATGTTACACCATCCACCACTAGGTCTCATCGATGTAGTAGCCAGGGGCTCTGCCTGTTTCTGTGGCTTTACTGTCTCAATTTCTCATGCACATCAGGTTGTGCCTGGAGACACACAGTTTCCCCCAGCTCACCACTGGGTTGGTCATCTTCTCTGGTGTCGGAGGCAGGAGTGGCCAGTTGCTGCATGTTGTCCTCCAGGACATTTATCTGAGCTTGAGAACTCTGTTTTCTGCTGCAAATCTTGATCAGTTTACAGTGTAGTGAGCAGCAGTAGCCAGGCTCTGGTCAGCAGAAAAGTGGCCACCAGATACCACATGCTCAGGGACAGCCACATTTCCTCCTTCTTCCAAGGGGTTTCGGCTCCTGTACCTGGTCAGAATCCTGTCACAGACTACACCAATTGTGGAGCTACTGCTAATGTCAGAATCCTGCCAACTATGCCAATTGTCTGGCTTTTTATCCTGTTTGCGATGCCAATTGTAAAGCTCTTTTACCTGCCTGTAATCCTGCTGACTGGGCCAATTGTCAAGCCAGGGTTGGGTCTGAAGCTCACAGACCCCTCAAGGCCATTCTGGACTGGGCCAATAACCCTTCAGATGCCAGGCAGGGTCCCCAGACCCCTCACATGCCAGGCTGGGTCACCAGACCCCTCACACGCCAAGCTGGGTCACCAGACCCCTTACACGCAGGTCTATGAGCTAGGTAACTGGCAAATAGGTCCTTGGAAGCCATAGGTTGGAAAGCATGGCTACATGTATGGTGGCTGCCCAAGGCAGTCAACTCCAGCCAAAGTGGTGGCACTGCGCAGGTGCACTAACTCCATCCCCCCCCACACACAGTTTGTTTCCTGAACCACCCCCAATTGGCCCTAAGGTGAGGGACCTGACTAAACTATTCTATTCTCCTAACAAGGGGAGAGCAGAAGCTGGTTGCAGTACTATTCACAGGAGCTCTCCCTTCTTCTCTCTTACCCTCTCTCCCTTCATTCATTCTTCCTTTGTTTTAAAACATCCTCAGGATTTTATAACCCTGTCAGAGTTGGGGACCCCTCCCATCAAAGATCTGGGCAGGACTGGGGGACAAGTTGGGAGTGTGCTGAGTGGGGAGGTGGGAGGCACGGGGCCTGGGGCAGTTCTCACCTTGCTTGTAAACTTGTAGCTTCACAGAAAAAAAAAAAAAAAAAGCAGTATTAAATAAAGTAATGTCTTTTTTCCCTGGAGAAAACAGAAAAGGAGAAACATCCTATCAGCACAATGGTGTATTAAGAAGATTACCAACAGCAGAAAAACCTTGGATGTTTCCTCAGTGGTACTATCCAGAGTTAATAAGGGCCTCAAGCAGAGGATGGTAGGAAAGAAAATAAATGCAGAGCCAAGGT